TTTTCATACAAAATGTAAAAGATTTAAAGAATGTAGCCAAGATCAAAATCATTTAAAATTATCTATGATAACACCAATAAAAGATTGATATTTTTTGTATTTATGAATGTGAGCTTTGTAGGTTGAATTTGGAGGCATTAAAAAAGAAGTTATAGCTAAAAGTGATTTTTTTTGGATAAAAAGTCATAGTTGCATGTAATCATTTGACTAATAATTAGGAAGTAGGGAGTAGACAAGAAAAGAAGAGGAAGAAGAGAGGAAAGGGAAGGGCGGTGGATTATAGATTGCACTCCATTTTTCATATTTTTTTACTTCTTTAGATTTTTGAGAGTCAAGGAGGGCTCAATGGATCTATCTCTGAGGCTTATCATATAAAGATGTTAAGATTTTGAATCTATATGCCTCCACATATAATGCAAGAATAAATAGGATTATAGAAAGAATTAATTAAAGTTCTACCAATCGATTACAAGTGGGTGCTCATGGATATCTAGAATAATGTTAAAAAAATGAGTGATAAATTCAACATATAAAAATTTGTACTCTTAAAAGAAGAATAATAAAAATACTTTCATGTCCTTGTTGCAAGTCTTGGAGAATTATTTTAATAGTCCATTTTTTGCATTTCAATTGAGATAATAGGCGTTGAAAGGTAGATTGGGCCTTGGCATGCCTTGACTACATGTATGTGTTCTCTCGACCAAGTATTAGTACCACCACCGTAAACTATTTCATTCTTCTCTATAGCATCTATTTGAACTACCTTGTAGTTTTAAAAAAAATCTATTTGTAGTAATTATCACAAAAAAAAGTTCCAATATATCATGAACGTCCAATATATAGTCTTAAAAGAAGTCTAAAAGAAAATTAAGTAAATTTGGTATTCTTACTTTTCTATTTTTTTATATTATTTTTTAAAAAATCAAGAAATGCATAAAATATTACAAGTTGTTATGTATTTTCAAGGCAACAGAAGAACAAAAAAAAGAAGATTATCTTTAAAGTGAGTTGGGCAGTACGATTGTATTAGAATTCAAGGAACAACATTAATTAAGGTCAGCTAGCTAGCTATACTGACAAGCTACAATAGCTCATAAACCAAAAAGTCGAAGGACAAGTACCTTAAGCTAAGTTAAAATGGAAGAAAGTATGTGACAATTGCTATGTTGATATTTTTTATACATATAAAGAATATTCTGTAATCCTATATATTGTAAAGTTAGTAGATAAATATGGCCAATTGTAAGGCACTACAAAAGTAATGGCTCATGTATGTTAGACCTTCTATAGCAAATAATACAAGTGATAAGACATCACATCAAGTATAAGAAGTTTTGGACAAAAAGTAACAAATTGTATAGCTTGCTAGCTAGAAGAAGGAACAAAAGAAAGCTTAAAGAGGCCAATTACACTTAGGGAGCTAACAATGGTGTTGAATACTATTTAAGGAAGTAAGTCAATAGTAGCAAATAGATTAATATTGGAATTTTATAAAGCTTTTTGGAATCCAATAAAGATAGAATATCTAGATATGCTATAAAAAAGTATTAAAGAGGGTCACTTCTCCAATGAGGTGATCTATGGACTAATAGCTTTGCTACATAAGATTGGTTCAAGATATGATCTATCTAAGTAATGACTAGTTACTTTAGTAAATATTAGTTATAAGATCATTGCTAAATTGTTGCAACTTTGGGTGAATTGTTCATGTTTAAAATTGCAAGAGCTCCCATGGTGGTAAGACAAGTAGTCAAAACCTATTTACTGACCACACAAGGCACAAAGTATAGGATATTGCATTCCATTAGTATATATCTATTAAAAGCATAAGGATGTATCTTGATAGAAATCACAAAGGCAACCAAGTTACAACAGAATAAAAATAAGAGGAGAAAAGAACAAGAAGAAATACCAACATTGGACATCCCAAAGAAAGTGAGAATAAATCCAGTGCAATCTAGTGAAAGAAAAAAGCTAGACCTCTTTTATTACACTCAGATCAACAGTCTTAATTTGGCACCTTGGCCACTTCAAATTGCTAGATCAAGTCCCTCTCAAATAATATACAACTAAAACGGGTTGTTTACTATTGCGCAAGCTACATGTAATACAAAATGTAGTAACTCAAAAGTAGTATGGATGTTGACATCAAATTTTTAACTTAAGCAGGCCAACACATGAAATAAAGAAAGAGTACAAAAAGAGGCATGGTTGCTTTGGCTCACTTTACACTAGGCACTAGCTATGAATGCATGGAGAGGCAGATTCAATGGAAATATTGATCAATGTTGTCCAGTGAGTTTCATTGAAGGTGAGGGAACCTCTGTAGAAAAAACATAGGATGGAGAATTTATGTTACACGATTGTTGGCTCATGCAAATCAAACAACACAGTTGAGTAGGTCAGCAATAGATGATCCTTCCAATGGATGCAATAGGAGGTCCACATGATAGTAAATAGAGATATAAGAAGTAGTTATAATCATCTAATAAATTCTCCATAGTTTTCTCCCTCGTAGAAGTATTGCATTTTTGCATAGAAGATCTCCTACAAATTCAAATTGGTAAGTCAATTATGGGTGTTACTTTGCAGCATAGTTACCTGGTTGCTGTGGATCAAGACGAATAATGCCACCTTCAATGGTATTCACTAGGCAAAGAAAAAGTTATATCAAAAGATTTGGGTTCATCTCATTGATTATAGTAGGAATGCTTGGTTTCAAACCCAAAAATGAATGCAACATAGTCTGTTAAAGGGGATGAATTGACATAGAAATTTTGCCAACAGTGGTGCAAAAACAATATCTTGGCTACATGGATGCAATACAGACCAAATTGAAAACTTGTTGGACCCAGTAGTATTTTTGCACATAATAATAGGCAATAATCTAATCCACCTGGTTGGGATAGTGTACTCTAATACACTGCAATAAAGAAATCTTTATTTGTGTCAAAAAAAAAGAAAAGAAAAAAGAAAAAAAGTTAAGGAAGACAAGGTATTTGACAACTATTTGGCTGTTTTCATATTTTATTTAATGGTGGGCATTAATACTTTGGTCAAGCTGCCTATTTACTGTGTAATTGAATATTAGTGTAAGAGATTGTATTAAGATGTCAGAATGATTTTTTCACAAGCTATTGCTTTGAAAAAGAATAGTGCACTTAATTGCATTGAAAAAGTTCAAATAAAAGTCACAGCACATGCATTCATGGAATCTTTGAATGTAGAAAAAATTATTCTATTATTCTTTATTGAATTTTGAATTCAGACATGTATAATATTAAAATCCATGTACATGCTATTTTGAATTGAATAATCAGGTATTGAAGAACTAGACAATTAATATTTATTGACCTAATACATCTCATTTTTTATTTTTTTTCCTTTCTCTCTATATATATACATACACACTTTAAGAGAATATATATATATATATATATATATATTCTTGAAAAGTATAGATATGTATATTGATATTAAGTTGTGAATTTTTATTTTCATATATATGTATATAATAATTGAACCCGTACCGTTGTCACAAAAAGTAATTCTTTTGATGAAAACAATGATGATTGAGTCAAAAATCAATGTTATATCTTTTTTGAGGTAGAAATGAATCATATGTGTTGTCAAGGCCATCTGAATCTGTAAACTTGATTTTATTAAGATCATGTGAATTGTTGCATAACTCAACTTTTACTTCACTTTTGATAAAACAATTAGAGATGCAACCAATCAAAGAAAAAAATTGTTTCCTTATGTGTTTTTATATACAAGAGATAATTTATATAAAGAAGGTTATATCATCTCAACAAATAAGATGCAAACAAGGAGTTTATTTATTCAATACTTTGTTGTTTTTATTTTTTTGAGAAAAAATATTGTATTATGTTATCATTATTTTTTCAAGATTTTCAAATGAACATACACCTTGGTTATATAATTATATATGTATAAGCTTTAAAACACGTCTTGTACATGATCAGCGAATGTATTATTCTGAGGGGCATCAAGAGGGGTACATCTAATAAACTCCATGTGTTTAACCGTTAAAAAAACAACAAAAAACATGCAGGGTAGTTTGTGATTAGGGCATTTTATAGCCACATCCTAAAATTCTCAGGAACCCAAGACTGGCATTCCAGAATCATTCCATGAGGTCAAATGGAACAGCGAGTTCTGCTCAGGACTCTGGTCAGGGAGCAAATGAAGCGCACTGCACCACACGACAACCAGTGTGAACGAAGAACCTAGTCAAGAGAACCACCCGGGAAAAACGATCTCTTCACGTGAACATGGAGAGTGGAGTTTAGATACCCTGCCCGTATAATACCCGGATATCATATGACTGCGTTGCGCTCCATACCCGCCAACAACAGATGCCACAGTCTTAATGGCAACGATGTGGTGATACCGCACTGTGAAGTGATGGGCACCAATCACCGCCCGGCCTTCTTGAGGCGAACATGGGTTCCATTCACGGCGTGAGCTATAGAACAGGACTTGCCATATTCTTGGCTCCTGAGAGCCCATGCCCACGCTGCGACGAGAGCAGCGTGGTGGGGGTTGTGGAGGACAGCTAAGTTCGCTGGCTCTATTCACACTTGATGATTTCTCCCCCCCATGTTCCACGGACGTGGCTGGGGCCTTTTAATAAAAAGAGTTTTGATTCCCCGTGAATGCTGCCAGTGCTTGCTTGCGTGGCTGCCGTCGTGGCTCAGGATTCCATCCTTTCCCAAGGTTCATGTTCAATTCATGGGCCCCCCCCCCACCTGTCTGCGAAGGAATTGGTGAGCTTGTCATGGTGGCGGGCCCAGTTCCGTTGGAATACGTCGTCCTGTTGCCCTCGTACAAAGCAGGCGGGGCTGCACTGGTATACAGTGAGCTTTTTCATCAGCTTCAAGGTCACATCGCAGAGGGCAGTCAGGTCCTCCTGTCTGTGCAGTTTGAGTTTGGTCGATTTCGCTTCAAGGGGCCTCCATCGCCGTCGCAGGTTTACAATTTTTCTCCGCTCTCTAGTAAATGGCTCAACCTCATGCCCGCTGTAGGCTCCCTTCCTCACTTGTGTGGAAACCGCGCAATAGAAGCTCTGGCCGTGTGTTACCAGGCCTGTGGAGGCTGCCTGGTTCGGTGGCTGGTCCAGTTTCCAGGATGGCGAATTGAGTGATGTGGGAGAAAGGAGGAATTGCAAGGGGAGGGATCGAGTAGAATTACAGTCTGGAATGTGGATGCGAGTCCTTGTGAGTGTTCCACGAGAGTGGTCATCGAGTTGCTGTTGTTGTTGGTCACAGTGTTGCTCGTTGTAAGCAATGCAAGAGTGTTGTTGTTTGAGTATCGTGGGATATGAGGACTGTAGACTGCGCTGTGGTATTGGCGTGGTCGAGGAAGCTGGAGGAAGCGGATCGGCTCTCTTCATTTGTTGCTGATTCGATTGTGAATCTGATTTCCATGGTTGTGTACAGTCATGTTCGGATAGCATCTCCATGGAGGTGCTGAGGCTCGCTGTTGTCGTCACCACATCTGTATTCTTTATTTAGCTGTTGAGAATTCGTAACCTTTGAGTGTGCGCGACCGCAAGTACAACGCTTTCAGGTCAGAGGGCTGACTCGTTGATTCCAAAGTGCTTCGGCATCACTTCTCATTCGCTCTTGTGCAGAGGATTTGCAGTCAATAGTGTGAGGTGTGTTGATTTTCTATGATAAAGCAGGGCTGGTTTCTTCGAAGAGTTTTTATTTTGTCATCTCAGCAAATCAGATTGGATTCCCACTTAATGCAGTACTGGATATTCTCGTGTTAGTTTCCCTGCAGGAGTTTGTGAACATTCTTTGGAAGGATTTTCTTACTTTTTCAAATTATCTGCAAAGATTTACTTCATGTTGGACCTTCCAGTTGACAGTGCAATCGTAGATTTCACCTGATTGTGAGCCATCTGGAATAGGTAGACTGCATGTCGGCAGTTCGTGCTCACACGAATCCGCTTCTAGGTCAAGGCAGGTTAAGAGTTTTTGTCGGAAGACCTATGAATATGGCCTTGTAAAACGCAGGTTTGGAGTGTTCATAATCTGTAGCACCGATCTTTACCAGGAAAAAGTAGAAAACGATTCCTCAGGTGACCTGCAGATAGCGATCGGCCCAGCGTTTCGGGGCATCTTTGAATGGAAGGATGTTTTGCACCTATTTCCTGTTCATGTTGAGAGTGGTCCGAGCATTCAATATCCCTGGACTGATGATGATCACTACCTCGTAAGACGGAGTCTTATACTTAGGGAATAGAAATGTACTCAGTCAAGCTCATATTTAACAGGTATTCGCTTCGGTCTATTAATCGTGAGTAGCCCTTCTCGCACAAGGGGTTCAAACATAGATTCTCGAGTGTGATGTATTAGAGTTCTTCGAATTCATTTAGGTGACTTGATCCGAAGTGAACCAGTGATAGTACGTCAATTAGGTGTGCAGTACAGGATCAGCATAATCTTCGGCTTTAAAGTGAAATAATTAACAATATATAATTCTTCTGGTACAAATTTTCCCGTAGAGAAACATATGTCAACGTTAAGAATCGATTCGGCTACTTTTCGGGAGCGACATTCCGGGAAAATTGTTTTCTGCCTGAAGAGGCCCATAGTGTGATGGAATTGGATGGGGCTGAGTATGTTCGTTGGCGTGAAACTGTGTTACATGAAAACCCGTCCATCGGAATGCAGTACAGCTTCGAATTGGTCCTCGAGATTAGGTTGAATCATTTAACCATGTGAATTTGTAAGGAAGCCATCGGAGTATCTTCTTGTCTTTATAATGGAATATCACGCATTAGATATGCTTTCAAAAAGGAGAAGCGGGATACCTTGATAGCAGCATTATGTTTCTGCGCTTCGTTATGTGTTCGCAAGGGTTGGTTAAACTGATGCAAAAAAGAGGCAATACAAGTGGTTTAGGAAGGAAGCTTTTTTCCATGATATAGCTGGAGGTAGCGTGACACGGTTGCAGGTTGATTTTAAATTGGTGTTGGGAGAGGATAAGACATTCGAGACATCTAGAACCCATCTTGCTCAAAAGTCTCCTCGTAATGATCTCACATAGAAGTAAAGTTTTAACTGTGAAGTACAACCGGAAGGCTTTTGGTGCTCTTCTTAAGTACCGATAATTATAGTGTATGTTCAACAGTTACATTCAGTTCTCTTTTGACGATTGTGAGTTTGTTGGTTGCTTTAATTCAATGTGCACGATTTTGTTGTCTATGGATTGTATTCTAACCAGACCCTCCACTCCATGAACGCATTTGACTATTGTCTTGCGACTGCATTTGAAGTAGCAAGTTAGAAGGTTTCACTTAGCTCGTATAAATATTGCACGTAAATTCTAATCCTTCAGTTGCATCGACTCCCGCTTGGAAATGTCTCGCTCTTATCAGTTATTATTATATTTATTTTTGAAAATTCAAACTAATTCATTTGTCATTGCTTATTTATATTATAGGTGCGTGTGGAACTTTCGTGGCTAGAACTGGGAAGTTGCAGAATATTGCTTGTCTATGCTTGCATCCATTCTTTCAGCTTCATTGGTCGTAACTGAATTTCCTACGCTAAAGCTTCAAGTTCATACCATTTTTTTCGCGTTTGGGATTTCCGCTTTCGCGCTCACCTTCTCTATGCAGAATCTTTGGTTCAACGGCTTGGGAGCCGTACGAAGCTTGACAATTCACTCTTCTTTTACAGGGTCAGATTGAGTAAACAAACCACCAGAACGTCGTCGCAGTTAAGTAGTTTCGAAGGCTCTTTAGAGTTCTTTCAACCTGCTAATTTAAGACGGAGTTAGATAAGATAACTTTTGGGCATAACTTTGACGAACATAACAAGATCGAAATGGAAATTGTCAGGCTTCTGAAAGTATGCCTATGCAAGCAACTGAATTTGACACATTTCACAGTTCGTTCGTCATTAGTTCCTAATTTATAGGTTTTAGTAAGATTAATTGATTATTGCAGCTTGCTTAATACAGGGCAAAAGCTGTATTTCTATTAGGAATCGATGTAATATCAGGGTATTCAGAAACAATCTACTACGGTTCCTCTTCGATTTATGTTTCAAACATTTGCTGTTTAACTTGATAGACTGATGTAATCTTTGCTTCGTTTTTGTAGATGATGTCAACTGAAAACTGCCAGAAGGTGGCGGACCTGATTATGGAGCGCAGGATGGCTGATCTATGTTCTGAAAATGATGGTATCATTCCATGCGCCTCCACAATTCTTAAACTCACAATTGATGGGCACGAGCAAAGGAAAACTTTACATACATTACTTGTCGACGCAACTAGCTTATACAAAAGCATTAGGAGATCATTCAATTTGACAAGGATAGTTAGAAACAGAATGGTCCAGGTTCTCAGGGTTCTTCTTCACGATCCAAAATCTTACTTGATCTCTTCAAAGAAACAGGTATGCTTTCACTCGGACAAAGATTATGCAGTACTTGTGGTATTTGATGAATTCTGCATTCTGATTTAGGTTTTCTTTAGTTCGACAAGGTGATCAGATAGATGTACTCACACTGTCTAGATTGGTATCTGAGTCGGCTGGTATCGGTCTTTTGATTTTCCTTCACTGTGTTTTGTATGTTTTAAAATCTTCATGATTGAGGTTGGTAGGAGCATATATTACATCCGATCGATTTAAAGTTCCCATGCGTTCGTCGCCCTACTTGTATGAAGGATTAATGGATACGTGGATACGTGGGTACAGTTCTGTGCAGAAGCATCACATAAGGGTTGGAGATCGATATGGGTGTTGTGTCACTTTTTTCAACTCCATTTACAGTTTGTCGCTCTGTTTTAATTTTGGTGAGTGCCTTCGCTCTATTTTCTTGCCAAGTTTTGAGGTTTTGTGACATGTACGTTTGCTGCAGTTAAAATCTTAGGGGCTCTTGAAGATCGCAAACTCGAATGTAATATTAGCTTCCTCCCGACTTGTGCGCATATATTCTGCAGCTGAACAGGATTCCAGACCGACTGACATGTTCACTTTTAGGCTAACTCTAATCTAATCTAGAACTCCTCCTCTTCAAATGTTTTTGAGTTCCTAGCATGCAGAGTGTTCAGTATTCAGTCTCCTTTCGAATCCTGGTTTAGGATGACCGCGATGCCCGACTTCATGATGTAGCTTTCTGTCTGGGATGCTTGACAACGGCAGGACATTGTATTAGGTTCTCATTCTACTAATTTGTGCACGGTTAGTTGGGTTAGCTTTTTGAATCCTGTAAGCATTACATGATATTTGGGCTTGGATGTTCTCTCTTAGATATTTCTTAGCTTCTTACCAAACGTGATCGACTCCCTGGAGTAATTTTCCATTCCAGTGACGCGACGGATGTCGAGTAAATTGTTTCCAGGAGTCCTATTCTTTCTTTTTCCCTCAATCCGTAGCTTTGCTTCATAGTTCCAACGTAGGACCTCTAAAGTATAGTGCTGCGTGAGATGGTAGCTTAGCAGATAATGTATACCACATAATGTTATTGCTTAGATCCATACCTTCTTGAGTTTTCATGCTTCTTACCATATTTCAAGAGTTTTGACGTGTATGCCTCTTGTTTTATACATTTATTAATAACTAATTAAGCAATGTCTAAATAATATCAGGTGAAAGCAGCGTGTGCGTACCGGTCATGGACCTCCCGAGAAAGCTTCTTCTGCAAGTTGTAAGATTCCGGATGAAGGTCTGACTGTTGAAGCCCATGCTCATGTGATTCCACATTCTAATTTGTTGCCATCGGGATCCGCCTATCTGGCAGCTCTACTAGATGGAACGTTCACCAAAGAACGATAATTTGACATTGTTTTGATGCAGTGCCATCCAAGATAGGCTCTACAACTTGGGAAATCCTACTCATATCTTGGTAGGAGCCTAAGCTAGGGCCACAGTAGGAGTAGGTTTAGAGCCATGTGTAGGTGATTTGTTTTTCAACTTCAGTAATGCTACAATGTTTCCAGTCTAATCACTATGAATCAGAATAACTTGTCTAATCTACTTTTCAATATTCTGAAAAGACGTTTCCATCCACATTCTCTTTGGATATTATGTGTAGACGTGGAATGAGTGAAACAAAAAACTGGGTGTTATCATACTAGGGCCATAATCAAACTTAGGAATGGAATTTCTACGTCACATTTCAATGATGTGAAAATATTTCAAAATTGTATTGTTGCTGATTACATTTTTACAATAGGATTATGAGATAAAACTATTGGTTGTTAAAGATAATTTGACATGTTGTCCTTGTATTGCATAATATACAACATAATTTTAAAAAAGAAAATAAATGAGAATCCCTAATTTCAAACTGAGGTTGTTAATAAAGTTGATTTGGAGAAATTTCCAACTTGAAATAATCCATTAGTGTTTCATATGAATTTTAGTTTTGAAGATGGTTTATATATATATATATATATATATAAACTTGGTTCCAAGTTGGTAACAACTCACAACTTAATTTTGTTAGTTGCTATTAAATTATAAATTTTTTTTACTAATAAAGTTTGTTTGAATTATTTTTATCATGTTAATAGATATTCCTTGTAGATGTTGATTTCATTCAAGGATTCAAGCAAGTCTATAATTCTTTATAATTCTTTAGCTTTTTATTTGGTTTATTAGGTCACAAGTAATGATCCTAAGTGAGGTTAATTTGTTTCCAAAAGAAAAATATGTATTTGGTATGCAATAGATCAAACAACATACTACTATAAATGTTTGCAAGAGGAATAAATTCTAAGACTTATCAAAGTAAATTACTCTTATCCACCATTTGTACAATAATTTATCTTTTATGATTTTGTATGAAATATATATATATATATATATATATATATATATAAATTAGAATTTTGTTCATGATATCCTATTTTAAAGCAAAGAGCCTTGTACTTAAGAGATATTAAGTATGTGTAGAATATTCTACTCAACTATCAATATAAATACTCATCTATAGAGTTTTATTTATTTATTTATTTTAAATCTATTTATATAATAATAGGTACTAGATAATAATAATATTATTTTAAAAAATTATACATAGATTTTTATTTTTTTATTTTCTAAAAATTTCTATAAAATCAACCAATAGAAGAAATAAAAAAATTGAAGAACAATTGAATCCAACTAATTTTCTATCTCATAATTATTTTCTAATTATTTATTATCAAACAAGACCTTATACAATGCAATATTATGCAATAAGTAGAAACATATATTTTAAGATTGTCAAAGCTAAGAACTTGTGCTATAAAAAATACCTATATTATTTAAGTAAATAGAAGTAAAAAATATTAAATATATATATATATATATATATATATATACACATTAAATAATTAATATATATATTTTTAAATGTTGAAAAAAAAGTTCTATACAATTTTAGTTTTTTTAAAATATGCTTTATGGCTATAAATTTTTTTTTAAATAAAAAATCTAGTACCTTTAGAAAGCCACTTCCAAATCATTCTACAATTTTGAGGCTTAAGCTATCAACTTTGTGATCTTTAAGAAGCTTTTACTGATCTTCTTTTTAGTATATATAGAGATAAGATGAAAGCTATTTTCAATCTTGTCAATACCTTTCTTATATTCTAAACTTGATTCAAGGCTTTTCAATCTTTTTATATTTGACAATAGCCATTCTAAAAACTTTTATCATATGAGCATATATCTTCTATGGTTTCTTTCTTCTTAATTTACAATACACAAACATATTATCTTTCTAAGAGTTTTTTTTAGATGTGTATCTTTGACTCACATAACGTTTCAAAGATTAAATCTCTTAAAAATAGAATTTTTGTAGCAAATTAATTAAAATAAGATGATGCAATAAGTTTTAATTAAATCATCTTAATTAATTATCCATAATAGATTATATTTATTATTTAATTTTAATATTTTATAATTAAAATTATAATTTTAAATTTAAATATATTTTATATTTCATATTATAAATTAAATGTAAATTTAATTTTTTGAGTTATTAAAAAATTAGTTAAAAATATTAAAAAGCTTAAACATAAATTAAAAAATAAAAAATTCTTTTATTTTATTAAAATATTATATTATATATGTATATTTAATTTTAAATTTTTATCTATCACCGATAGATAAGAAGTACTAGATAAAAAATAAATATAGGTAGATTTTATATTATCTTGTGGCAAAGCTTCTTAGAAGCTTCATAGATGCATATTTTATTTTATACATGTTTATATTTGATTGGTGGTTAAAAACCTATTCAACATGTGAGCCATATGTCATATATGTAAATAACTTGTAGTATAAGCTAACAATGTGGTGTACATGTAGGAAACTTGTGTTGCAAGTTAAGACACTTGTCTTGCAAATTGAACACATATTGGAGGTCCTACAAGATTTCGCCACACAATTTCTAGTTGGATAGTATATATGGAGGTAAGAATGAAGCCTTCTTCACTATTATCAATGCTTTTCTAATCCTTCGGCTTGTTTCAAGACTTTCTATTCTTTTTGACTTTGGCAATAGCCATTTTAGTTTAATATTATACCATCTTTGAGTGATTCTCCAATCTTTTCAAGTGACATAAGAGTGTATTGATCTTTTAGTTCTTTGAAATTCATGTCCTTGATATTATCACTAGATAAAATATATATATATATATATATATATATTTAAATTGAATAGAATTAAGTCAATACATAATGAAATCATTACTATTTAATTACAATATGTATAGGAGAATATTAAATAGAAAAAGATTTTTACTAATTTGATCCACTGATTCTAAACATTATGAAAAAATATTTATCTATGGATTCATTTCTCCACTACTAGATCCAAAATCAATGAAAACCAACCACATTCATCATGATTATCATATCATAAGTAGATAAATTTAGTAAAAAAGTGGATCTATTTAAAATTTCCATACAAATTTATATATAAATGTAAATATAAATATTTTTGAAATATAATTTTGAAGAAAAATTTTGTGTTGAATAAATTACTCCATTTTTTTCTGAGTCACCATCTTCCACGGGTATATATATCGCTTCAAACCATGCATGTTAACGAAGATGGTTCCAAACAAAAGGCACAGGATGAATGTCGATCATCTAATCATCGGTGAGATTCGAACGCGTTCTCGGAAATGGAGAACGTGAACAAGCAAGAGAGGGCTTCAGCAGCCTGGTGCCCTAATTCCAGGCTCCAGGATTCTGCAGCGAAGGGCCTCTACGTGGCTTGCATCTGTTGCCGAGGGGGGGAAATGGCTATGGCTATAGAATGCGCCTGGCCGATCGTGGAAACGGGCCATTGAAGCAAGCTGCCAGGGGGGGTTCATGGATGTCTACACCAGTCGGTGAGCCGAGTGTGCTGGATGTGAGGGGCCATCGAATTCAAACGAGGCTTCAAATGGTTGTTGGAGCTTGAGGTCTTTTGAGTGAAGGGTCAGGGTTCAGGGAAGGTTTGTTGCAGAGCATTGACGCTCCGTGTGTCAGTGCGGGTGCGCGAGGCGGAGGCGATGGCGGGAAACGATTGCTTGACGCGCGTTGTGGCTGGCGTTGGAATTGGAGGAGCAGTCGGGGGCGCTTTCGGGGCAGTTTTCGGCACTTACGAGGCCTTTCGGTATAGGATCCCTGGCATGCTCAAGGTGCGGCATGTTGGCCAGACTACGCTGGGGAGTGCTGCTGTGTTTGGATTGTTTTTAGGAGCGGGCAGTTTGATACAGTGTGGCAAGAATTATTAGTGTCTATGCAGCAGGATGTGCTGGGCTGAAGATTGCTAGTTAGTTACCTGAATAAGGCTTTGGGTCAGTTAGCGTTAGGAGCGACTCTCGCTTGAATCGAACTAGAGGTGACCCTTGATGTGCTGAAGCTATTCCTCTGAACTGATGGCAGCCGGGAATTAACTTCATCTAAGCACGGTGAGGTATTAGTAGCCCTGATAATTAGGACGTTTGCTAAAGATGGTTAATGAAGTTTTGCAATTGACTCCCGTCAATTGCAATTTTCTGCTATTTTGTCTACGGAGATGGGTTGATGAGTACTAATAAAAAAATTCACATATTTATATTCGGAAGGAGTTGGATTGTCCATTGATTTATCGCTAGGTTTTCCATTCTGTTACTATGTTCTATTGCTTGGCAATTTCTGGTGAGATTGTCTAGGACACGCACCCATCGAATTTAGTAATGGCACGGCCGGTGTGAAAGAGAGATGTAATGCATCATGGGCGTTGATCATAGCTGGAGTGTATTCGAGTATGCTTGAGATTTTTCAATACACTTGACTGAGAGTTGTGAATTGCTTCGGCATATCGAAGCTATCAGCAACAATGTGATGGCTGATCCTTAATGACTACTAGAAAACAGCGACGGACCGCCACCAGATGAACTCTACATTAGGCTTTTTCTAAGGTTTACTTTCATCAATCACTCTCTTTACGTTGCTATTCTTGCTGTAGTGACACCCGCTCCTCTGCAATTATATTTGTACCTACTTTCTGGTTTATCAACCGCCACAGATTTACGTTGACACTGTACAACAATGCTTGAGCTTCACTTCATTTGTTTAAGCCCGTGTACTATGTTTTTTACATCTTTCTTCTTCATTCTGTGATACTCCCTGCCATGTTCTAAGCTTGGGTTTATGCCGTTCGAGTAACACCTTTGGGAAGCTGGGTTCTTGTCAGTGCAAGTGGTTGGGTGTGCAGTAAGCTCGACTGCAGGAACTTATGTGTCTCGGATGGAGAATGAAGCTGAAGCTTGTTGTTAGAGTTAAGAAACTCTCATCCTCACATATCGGAGTGGTTGCCTACTCTGAAGGACAGAGGTGTTGGAAGAATTCTGTGGATTGCTCTGATCAAGGCTCGATCAGGTGCAGCCTTGGGCTTCAACAATGGGGCGTAGCCATGCAACTATGAAGCGGATCTATTTGACAGCATATTTTCAGCCTATGGACAGAAGGGATCCAGGCTACTCTTCTACTATGATCTAGATGTAAAGCAACTGAATCTATTTTAGCTGTTATATTATGGGAAGAGGAGCAATATAACATTAGCAGGATATTTATGTTTGGTTTTCTTTTCACATATATATATATAGAATGGAAATGAAACATAATTATAAGAATGCCATACTGACTTGACATAAAAAATTACACTGATTTAACTCCTATCATTGTAAAACATATTGTTGAATGAATTTTTTTTGAAGAATATTTTGTGTGAAATGTATTTATACATATCAAACTTAAATAATGTAAATATAAAGTTTAGGTTTTTTTCATAATTTAATTGAATTTAGATGTCTTATTTCAACCTATAATGTTCTATTAATTTTGTTTTTATAAAGGTGCATAATTTTTATCATGTACTTCTTAGACTAGGATGGCATGACATTAAGGGGGTAAAATAGACCTTATTTGATATTTGGATTTTAGGGAGGGTTGGTAGTATAGAGAACAACATAAGATTATACTTTTTCAATTCTAGTATGATAGAAGAGATCTCATTTAAAAGTAGATGCAAGAAGTCACATGTTTAAAAAAGAGTTTGTTACAAAGAATACATAAGTTTGTTTGAATAAATCTTCAATATTTAGAGAAAACTGAATACTTCATAGTATGATAAGATGATACACATAGTTTATAGATATTTGTAAAATATATAGATGTTTATAAGTCAATTGTCTAATTTAATTGGATTTATTTTAAAGAAAACATAACAAAAAATAAGATTAAAAGTTATTTCAATATGTATCAAATAGTGTATTATTTTTTTTTTCTTGTTCTTTTAAATTAGAAAAATAAACCAAAATACAATTATGATATTATAAAAAAGAGTATCTTCTATATTTATCCTTGAAATATTTTAAAAGATATTCTAAAAATCTTATTTATATAGCTTATGCAAAAAAAAAAATAGTTTAAAGTTCTACAATTCAAGATATAATTTAAGTGTCTTAACAATCTTGTTATGGCTAAATTATTTCTATTTATGGATGTTGTAAGATTAAAAGTTTAAAAAAGATGATGACTATCAAAACTAATTGATATTTTTAAGATAACTCTTGGCATAATTATTCATAGGAAATTGATAGGTTGACTTGAGTTTTCATTAAAATGACCAAGTTTACTCACGTAATCTAGTTCAGATGTAGGGATCCTTACTAAACATGTATGTTCATTAATGTACTATGTAGCCAAATTTGAAACTTCATTATAAGTGCATTATTTTTGTTCACAATTTATTTATTTTTATTTATAATATTTATTCACAATTCATTTCATACTTCATAAGATGTAAACAATGTTACATATTAACTGTAAATGAACTAATTAGTTTATTATTATTATTATATATATATATATATATATATATATATATATATATTTTATACTTTGTTACATGTGAATGAAGTTACATGTGAATTTTAAATGAACTCATCAATTCATCAATTTTTTTATTTATAATGAAAAAATATCCCATTAATTAATTTTTTATTCTTTCATACTTTGTTATATGTGAAATCAACAAATGAGTTAGTTCATCAAATAGAAAGATAATCCATAAATTTAAGTAACAAATGTAATGAAGTATTTGAAGAATTTTGTATTCTTTTATGATGTAGCAATGGTTATAATTATGCGATCACTGTTTCAAAGTTGGAATCCACATTAGGCGATCAAGACGTAGTTGTCTCTAATTGAAGCCTTGCTTTTATGGTTTATTTTTTTTTGTTTTGTTATCTCTCACATATTGAATCTATAGTTTCCAATGAACTTGGCAGATAATGTATCCAATAAATACTAGCTACCAAATAATACATGCTAAGTAACAATAGTAGCAACAAATTTAGCCACTTCTTTAGCAAACCTATGTGACACTAGAAGAAGAAGAGATTCTCTTAAAATATTTTGCTTGTCATTGTAGATTCATGCTTCAACAACTATATAACTACACGTTTTTTAATACTAAACTTACATGCACTCTATTTCTTTGCTATATCATTCAAGGTAAGAACACCATTAGTGCTACAAGCCAAGCCATTACATCTACACTAAGTTAGTATCTCTTTCAAATCAAATTATGATATATCTTACATGAAGATGATATAATATGGACATCCTATATGATAAACATTGATTACAGCCATAGCTTAGCTACTAATGCAGCAATTTATCCATTAAGAAGAACTTTGTCAATCAACAAAGTTGAAATGATTTGAAAGTTGTTTGATATTGGTGCCTCTCCTCAAGTCGTTAATGCTATGGTGATGTAGTTCAACTTTGATAGTAGATGTATTCAAAGAGACATATACAACCTTTGAGATGCTTTGAAACAAGAAGAACTTCACAATTGCATTCCTTTAGACGTGCATTTAGATGAATTAGAGAACAACAACATCTTCTATATAAAAAAATTGAATAACAACAGTAGGCTTTTTTATTTATTCTTTGCATTTCGAAAGACAATTGAACTTGCATGCCAATAGAAGTATATACTCAACATCATCTTATTAGACTTGACATACAAGATGAATTGCTTTCAAATGCCATTATTGCAAGTTGCTATCAATACAAGCACAAATCACTCTTTTTTGCTATACTTTTGCTTCATACAAGCAAAAAAAGAAGACAACTATATTTAGGCTCTAAAGTAGATACAATCTATGTTTGTATCGATGCTTCCATCTGTTTTTGTGACTTATTGCAAACTCAGAGTCATGCATGTAATTGACATTATATTTTCAAATGTTGAAACACAATAACTGCTTTATTTATGGCATATTGAAAAAAAATGTATAATCAAATATTAAAACTATTATTTGAGATGCTATCAATTTTGAGGCCTTTATGATTGCATGGAAGGTAATAGTCTATGCAACTAATATCAAAGAATACAAGGAAGTTGTGAATGGCATAGAATACAACTTTGATAATGTTGTTGTGAGATATATCAATATTATTTGATTATCTCCATATCATACAAAGTTCATAAAACTTTGGACTAATCATATTTGTCATTGTAACTATTACACAACATCATGTCTTGAGGGACTACATAGTATAATAAAAGGCTAGATCATGGTATCTATGGACAACCTTAATGATATATACAAGAATATCAACTTGGCCATTGATGCTCAACTAGCTAAAATTTGACTGAAGTTGATTTTGGATGCTATATGCTACTTGATTACATATTTCAATCTTATATGGTCCTAAGTCATTAACAAAATTTTACATTATGCCTTGAAAGCAGCAGCAAAGAAATTCAAATACGTAGAAAACATATTAGCAATAACTAGAGCTTATTCATGTGTAATTGCATCATCAATAAATATGCCTTATCTATATACATTCCAAAGGTTGATAGAGGTTGATAGTGCTTTGGAAGTTGACAATTTTGATCAACGTTGGTAGCTTGAATTATTGATAGTTACAATTATACTATCTATAATGATAAATACTACATTAGAGTATATTGCAAAGTATATAATTTGCTATGGGCCAATTAATAACATTGTCATATTACGTAGCATTTAGCTTGAAAATACATCGCGCACTTGGCTATGGAAGATAAAAGAAAAATTGCAACAACAAATAATCAGTAATAGTAATCGGCTTTGGTAACAGTAACCATTGGCAGCAACTAATAATCAATAACAGTGACCAATAACCAATAGTAGTAGCCAATAACCAGTAATAGTAGCCAATAACCAATAATAGTAGCCAATAACTAATAGCGGTAATGAAGAATCAATAGCAGTAACCAATATCCAGTAACAATAGCCAATAACTAGTAGCAATAACTAATATCCAATAGTAATAACCAATATCCAATAGCAATAATCAATATCAAGTAGCAATAACCAATATCTAGTAGCAATAACCAATATCCAGTAGCAAAAACCAATATCCAATAGCAATAACTAATATCCAATAGCAATAATCAATATCCTTCAAAATTACAAAACTTTAGCACTTAATTTCTTCCAATCCAACTATTGGATTAAGCTCAAAAATTTTAAAGAGTAAGATAATATTCTTAACTTCAAATGGATGATAACCACAAAA